TCCCTACATACAGATTTATAAATAAACAGCTGGCTGCTCTTGGGAGATATTTTTACCACAGCTGTTTTTTGAAATAGAAAACTGCCTCTTTGGGGGAGGTAGCCTTTTTTAAAAAATAAAAAAAATAAACATCTCCTACCTTTCTCCTGGTAGCGTAGTGGTTACAAATCGGGCTGCTAACCTAAAGGTTGGCAGTTCAAAACTACCAGCTGTTCTGTGGGAGAAAGATGAGGCTTTCTGCTCCCGTAAAGGTTTACAGCCTGGGAAACCCTGTACAGGGTCATTATGAGTCGGAACCGACTCCACGGTACTTAACAATAACAACCTTCCCCCGGGCTCCCGGTGGTGCTGTTAGGATCAGCACTGGACTGAGAACCACAAGGTCACTTCAAACCCATCAGCTGTTCTTTGGAACCACTGTACAGGGTCGCTATGTTTCACAACCGTCTTGATGGCACTTAACAACAACAACCACCACCACCTTCCTCGAGGAGCCCTGGTGGATTACCGTAGAGTCAGTAGTTCGAATTTACTAGCCACCCTTCGGAAGAAAGATGAGGCTTTCTACTCCCATAAAGATTTAGAGCCTCAGTAATCCTATACAGGGTCCTATGAGTCAGAACTGACTCCGTGACAGACAACCACTACCACCACCTTTTTCTTATCTTTAGAAAAGTGCAAAGATCTTTTCCTTAGAGGGTGGTATTGTTATTAAGTTCAGTTGAGCCAACTTACAGCCACTCTGTATAGGGTTTCTGAGAATTGGCTTGTGTACCTTGAGGTCCAGTGCATTATCCTACAGCCCCGGAGATGTAAATAGGTTCATTTGTTTTGATTTCCCCCCCTCCTTTTATGTTACTGGAAAGTGAGCTGATATGGCGAGTAATGATCTATAGCAGCCAATTGGATTTCTGAAAGAAGAGACTGTATTAAGGTTCTTGGTAGAAGACTTGGAATGTCAATGGGCAGGGGGTGGAGAACAAGTCAGTAATTAAAACTAAAAATACTGCATCATTTGACTTCAAGGCATTACATTTCATGTGACGAAAGCTCAGCCTGGTTTTCTCTAATTGCACAACACAGTGTGTGTCCTTCTTAGAAACAAGAGCTATGACTTGATATGCTGAAATTTGACAGACTATTTCTCATTAAACGCTCTTAAATAGGAGGTTAAAAGGAGCTGCGTAATGTGAAACAGTTAATAGTCTCAAACAGCTTAATTTGTAAGGCAAGTCACTTGCTGTATCTTTACATTAAAATACACACCTAAGTCGGGTTGGGGGTATACGGAGGTCCTCTCTGAATTCAACGAAGTTCTTTAGGAAAATATTAAATTCACCTCGGTTTGCAGATGTTTAATATGCGAAGCAAGCCTTGAGGTGGCACAAAAGGTTTTCAGTTCAAACCCACCCTCAGCACCTTGGAATGCTTGGCAATCTGCTTCTGTAAAGATCACAGCCAGGATAAATCTGACAAAATTCTACGTAACTCGGCAGTGACACATTTGCCTTTTGGGGGTTTTAATACGAAGACAATCCTTTAAGACTACACATAATCCATCCTGCCTCCAGGAGTTTAGTTCTTTAGTGAAGAAACCTGAAGGCAAAATCTTTGGAGGGGACCATTTGGAGAAAAACATAATTTTGAGGAGTAATAACCCAATTATCTTTTTGAGAAAAAGAAATGCGCTCTTTTGAAGTATTCCTTTTGTTCCAGGAAGGGGGGCGGGGTGGAGACTGGTGAAAAGTATCAACATCTTGACCCCATTTGCCTCTCCCTTTTTTACCCTGGGTGAACAGGAGGCTGGAAGAGCATTACTTCTCTGTTTACCATTTCTTCTGGGCCTGCTCTTCTCAAAGTGCACAAAGATAAACAGGGGCAGCCCAAACCAGCCTGCTCATAAAATCAAGCTGAAGAGAACTTCATCTTCCTTTGGGTCTGTTTGTTTCCAACTCTTATCATCATCAGTACTTGAAAGTATCTGGTGTCAAATATTCGGATATACATATATAGGGGGGAAATCTGTATATTTTCGATGATTGGTTAACTACACTTAAGTGTGAATGAAAGTGTTAAGTCAGTAGTAAGCCATTTGTCTCTCAAGGTGGCAGGAAGCAGCTTTATCCTATTGGAAAGAAGGGTTTGGAAAATAGACAAATATTAGAATAGATGAGAGGGACACTGTAAAATATCTAGATTCCTGTATGGGTCAGTCAGAAAGTTAACTTTCTGGTATCATAAAGGTTCCTAGCATTTTTTAGTATAAGGTCATTTTATTAACGTCAAAAATACTAGCTATCTACCTACCATTTGTCTATTTACAGAGTATATTCATTCAGACAGACAAAAACTGTTAGATTCACTTTTATTAACTTCAGTACTTACATTGTTGTTGTTATTAAGTGCCATCGAGTCAGTTTCCACTCATAGCGACCCTGTATAGCATTTCCAGGGAGTTTAAACCACCAACCTTGCAGTGCAAACCAACCTTGCAGTCCAGTGCATTAACCCACAGCACCACACCAGGATTCAGTACTTACATACATTTGACAAATAAAATAAAGCAGATTTATAGAAGACACTATCTACAAGCAATTCTCCAGTACACATTTGGCATCATGGACCTGTAGTCTGGGAATATTCTCTGCTAGTGAAAGGTACACTGAATTTAGAATCAAGTTCAGCGTTCTATTTCTGGTTCTTCCGTTTACTAGCTGTGTGACCTGAGCTACTGGACTAACCTTGTGCTATTGTTTCCGAGGTGAAAGGAGTGGTGGCGTTTGTTTGATTTTTTATTTTTGCTTACTTGTTTGCTTGTTGTGTTTGGGTAGACGGATGGAGGGAAGAAGACCAACTGAACATTACCATTTAGACATCTCATAGCCAGAAAGAAAACTAGGTTAGGTTCTGTCAAATCGATTCTGACTCATAGTGACCCCATGTAACAAAATACGACTGCTCCATAGGGGTTTCTTAGGGGAGCAGATGGACAGGTCTTTGGTTAGTGACCTAGCTGAGAGGCAAGCAGCCTTAAATTCGACTCCCCACAGGCTGGGCTGGCTGCCCTCTGTTGTTCCATGCTGAGGCGGTCCTAGGAGCTCTAGTGGTTGAAACTGTAATGAATTAGAAGGAGCATTGCTATGGAATGTTTAGGCAGTATATGCCCTCACCAGGTATACATGATAATGCACAGGAAAGGAAGTGCCTCTCCAGTCCTAGAAACAGAATCTTAAAGTCCCACACCTACTCTTCATATTGAGTTTTCCTCCCTAACTGTCTACACTGTCTGGCTGTCACTTCCTCGAAGCATATTCTTCAAGTCGTGACTTGGCTGTGTGTGATTAGGTCCTTAGCTACTTTACCCCCAGTTCCCTAAGTCCTTAAATGTGGCCATCATTTCACTGGCTGACACATAATTATAGAATCAACAGACTTCATCCAACCACCCACATTAAAATTACCTCAGATATAAGAGAGGCAATCCTCTATTTAAAGATGTTGGAAGAATGAATAGTTTTGGTCACCATCAACAACTCTTACCTAAAGTATATATTACATATGTTGTTGTTGTTGTTGTTAAGTGCCGTTGAGTTGGTTCCGACCCATAGCGATCCTGTACAGGGTTTCCGAGGCTGTAAATCTTTACGGGAGCAGAATGACTCATCTTTCTCCCGCAGAGTGGCTGGTAGTTTCGAACTGCTGGCCCTAAGGTTTGCAGCCCAATTCATAACCACTACGCTACCAGAGCTCCTTCAAAAGTTCATGGAAAATGGAATTTTCCCACAAACTTTTGGAAGCCACATATATATGTGTGTGTGTGTGTGTATAATGTATGTGTTTGTGTGTGTGTATAATCCTGGCATGGCACGATAGGGTAAGCACTAGACTGCTAACTGCAAGATCAGCAATTCAAACCCACCAACCACTCCTCGGAAACCTTATAGAGGATTACTATGAGTTGGAACTGACGCAACAATACTTAACAACAACATTGTTGTTGTTGTTAACTGCCATTCCAACTCATAGCAAGCCAGTGTGGGTTTCCAAGGAGCAGATGCTGAGTTTGAACCACCGACCTTGTGGTTCAAACCAACCTTGAGATTGAGTGGTGCCACATCACACAGAGCACGGTGACTTTGTAAGATAAGCACTGGACCGCAAATCACAAGGTCAGTGGGTCAGTGGTTCAAGCCCATCAGCCACTCTACAGAAGAAAGATGAGGCTTTCTGCTCCTGCAAAGATTTATAGTCTCAGAAAGCCTATCCAGGAGCACTATGAGTCAGAACCAACTCCACGGCACTTAACAACAAACAACAATATGTATAATCGAAGTTGTCAGATGTTGAAGTTAATTAGATTCCAACAGTCTTCTGTATTTGCTTATATGTATATCCTTGCTAATAAAAAGTCCATTCTGACCAGGTGGAAAGTAAGAACTAACAGGTAAGGTCAGGATTAGAGTTTATCTAAGCGCAGCCTGAAGGAGCTCTGGTAGTGTAGTGGTTGCAAATCTGGCTGCTAACCTCAGGGTCATCAGTTCGAAACTACCAGCTGTTCCGTGGGAGAAAGATGAGGCTTTCTGCTCCCGTAAAGATATACAGCCTCGGAAACCGTGTGCTAAGTCGCTATGAGTCGGAACCGACTCCACAGCACATAACAACAACAACAACAAAGCGCAGCCTGAGGATTTCTCTTTCCTTTGATGTTAGTTGAAAACCCTGTCTTCAGCCATTACTCAGCCCTATCTGAAACAGACTGGATTTGGTCTCAGATTTCCTGAGCCACACTCTTTTACTGTCCTCCTGGAGCTTTTCAGTCCACTGTGCAACAGCCAGCTGTGAGGACTAATTTAAGGAAATTCCATGTGTGTGCCACTCAGGACCCTTGAGATCCATAAGCCCCTGGTGACGGCCCCATTTCCCTTCCCCTGTACTTCCCCTTCAAATGGTGGTGAGACTCCATGTGGACTCCCTGCATCTCTCTCTTCTTGTCCTTCCAGGAGCAGCACCCAGTCGGACTTCCCAGAACCACAGGCCCCTTGCAGTCCTCGGTGCCCCCAGGCTCGGGCAGCATGGTCTCCGGAGCCAGTCCCTCGGGTCCCGGCTTCCTAGGCAACCAGCCCCAGGCAGCCATCATGAAGCAGATGCTCATGGATCAGCGGGCCCAGCTGATGGAGCAACAGAAGCAACAGTTCCTGCGGGAGCAAAGGCAGCAGCAGCAGCAGCAGCAGCAGCAGATTCTGGCTGAGCAGGTACCACATACCCATGGAGTGATGCATTTGTTCAGCACCTGCTGTTGGCGAGGGAGTAACAGTTCATGGTCTTCAAGATGCTCACAGTCTAGCATTATCCAGGATCCCAGAAGGGCCTGCGGAATTTAGCCCTTTCAATTAGTTAGGCTTTTCCCCTAATGAGTTGGTTTGTTCTTAAAAGAGAAGCTCCGGCCATCAATTTGAAGGCCCATTTGCTAGAGACATTTTCCTATTCAAGCTTGACACGCTTTTCCTTCTAGTTTCTGGTACTAGGATCTGTGTAACCAGCATGCAGAAGGAGTGGCAGGGGGTTGGGGTCTAGTTCACATTCTCTATAAGCCCTCATGTTTGAAGGGGAAAAAAAGAAAATGACTTGGAGAACTTTGTTCCTTGGAAGGAAGTGGTGGGAGGAGGGATTGAAGAGAATTCTACAGAATTGATCACGAACAATAGAGGGCGAACAATAGCAGAACAATAGGGCCAGCAGAAGTACCTGGAAACCTGAACTAGGGTCACAGAAAGGATACAAACTTAAGAAAATTCCCAGAAGCTATTAAAATGGCTCAGGAAATCTTTGAGTTAAAGGAAGCCCTAATAGAAATAAAGCTTTACCTGAGGCGTCTTTGTCCACCCTTACCATATAATTCCTCCAGCTTTGAAAGAAAGCCTTCCCTGTGGACTGTTCTTGTAAGTTTCAATTTATTATGTTTTTAGAGATGCCCATGCTTGATTTAGTATTATCTCAGAGAAAGGTCTCCAGACCTTCTCTGAGCCATCCCTCGATGGCTCCTGTGGGGGGCCTGCACCAGGCATCTAGTACATCAGACTCTTCTATGATAGGAGATGGGAAGTTGTCGTCCGAGGCTCAAGGCCTGACATATCTCTGCCCCATAGTTATTCTTCTGGAATCTTCCTTATGTGTTCAGAATTTTGAAACTGTATCAACACCCACCACATATGTGCAAGATACTATGTAAAGCTACAGGCATGTTGAGGTCTTTACTAATAACCAAAAGCTGCATTTTCAAAGCAACACTAGTCATTCTCCAAACAGAAAAATTACCACCATTGAACATAATTCGTTTATGTTCTTTTTTTTTTTTTTTCTGTATTTGTTTCTGAACAGCTGTGTAATTATCTCCCTTTTACCAAGGTCAGTCAGCCTCCTGGAAGCTATTGTACAAACAAACCTCTATCCCTCTCACCCAGCATAAGGTGTGTGACAAGGAACCATGCTAATATTTCTCAGGCAATGATGAATGGAGCTGCTGATGGGAAGCTGGGCTTTGTAAATGATCTCTGCTCAACCAATCCCAGGGAATTTTAGGTGTGCCGGAAGTTTTGAGTGATGATTTCTGATATGTGTGTTGTAGCCGAAGCGCAAAGAGGACTTAGGTAACCAGGCAGAACTCGGTCATTCCAGCCCCGGGCTGTTCCCTGTCAGAGAGATCAGCCTCATATCTGGGACACAAGGAGAGAGGTGAGAAGAATGTGAGAAAAGCTGTATCCGGGTGACAGGGACTAGAATGCAAGCGACTCAGGGGAACCCTCAGAATCCAGAAAACGGACATAGAGCACAGCCTTCTTGGACACGATGAGGGAATTGGAAGGTGTGACTTGAGCAGAATTCCTTAACAGCTGTATACATTAAAGGACCCCTGGTGGTTCTGTGGGTTAGGCATTCGACTGGTAACCACAAGGTTGATGATTCCCAGCCACTCCAAGGAGAAAGATAAGTTTGCTCCAATAAAGACCTTCAATCTCTGAAATCCTACATAGGGTCTCTATGAGTTGGAATCAACTCAGTGGCAGTGGGTTTGGCATTTTGGTTTGGTGTGCAACAAGACCAAAGAAAGATGTACATGAGATACTTTGGAAACTGTACACCCCACACAAATGTCATAGATATAATGTAAGAGCTGTAACCATATGTGCCAGTCTTCATTTGGGTCTAGACCAGAAGTGAAACAGAGAGACTGAGTTTTAAAACCTCAAGAAACAGTGCTCATTTATGCAGGCTGTCTGGGGTCAGGAGTCGCTGGGTGGTGAAAACAGTTAATGCACTTGGCTCTTCAAATCCACCTGCAGGCAACTCAGAAGAAATATCAGCCAGTCAAGGCCCTAAGAAGCACAGGTTTACTCTGACACACATGGGGTTTCCTTGAGACAGAGTCAACTCGCTGGTAACTGGTTATCTTAGAGGACTTCCTATTCTCATGTCTTTGCTGTGAATATGAATATTGCCCCATCAATCCCAAACTGATTTTTCTTGATCTCTACAAGGTCTGGTAGCGTAGTGGTTACAAATCGGACTGCGAACCACAAGGTCAGCAGTTCGAAACTACCAGCTGCTTCACGGGAGAAAGATGAGGCGTTCTGCTCCCGTAAAGATTTTCAGCTTCGGAAACCCTGTACAGGGTCGCTATGAGTCAGAACCGACTCCACGGCACATAACAGCAATAGCCAACAAGATTGAAAGTAGCCAGAATAACTCATATTGGAAACAATGGATTTAAACCACTCACGTTTCCTGAGAGAAAACAGGGGGATTAGGAGCCGGTGTATCTTAGGGAACTTTAAAAGGATTCTCAGTAGACTTGGCAATCAGAGTGGGGCAGGTTGCAAGTAGGCCTGAATGAACTTTTAATACTTTATTCCCCAAGAGTTCAAAGCATGTCATCTCTTATCCACTCACTAAGATTCCGTAGAACTTACAATTGTAGATCTTAACGAAACATTAGATAGATAGCAAGAAGTCCCATCATTTGATATGTGAGAATATTGAGTTTATGTAATTTACCCATAGTCACAGAGCTAAAGAGGCAGGACCAGCACAGGAACCCAGGTTTCTGATTCCGGGCTGGCTTCACCCCAGCTCACCGCAGGCTACCCCTGGGTTGTTCCTTATTCGTTCTGAGTGGGGCAATTAATTTTCTTATTTGATATGGGAAGTAGATTTGGCTGGGGAGAAGCTTTTAAATGTTCAATTTACTTTCAATAATGCTTTTATTGCTGTCTAAAAGATTAGCATAGTTTGTCTACACTTTGATTAATTAATCAGTTTCAACAGTTTTGTGCCTTGTTGGGGTTGGGTGGTAAGGGAAGGAGGGAAGGAAGAAAAGAAAATTACAGAGCTGCCCAGGAACAAAAACGAAAGAAACATAAGAAATCAACACAGGTGTTAAGAAGTGGTCAGTGTGTGTTATTTCTATAATGAACACTCTAAAGAGCAGTGACCTTGTTGTATGTTCTTTATAGCCCTCATAGATGAAAGGTGCCTCATGAATATTCAGCAGCTGCCGGAAGGAGGTTAAATGACATGCCGAAGGTCACGCAGCTACTTGATGGCCGACCTAGAACTAAAAGCCCCATTTCTCTGCTCTTTCCATCTCACTCCTATTTTCATTCCCTTTTCACATGCAGCATGATAATGATCATAATAGCTTCTCCAGTATATTGGTAACAGCAATAGCAAAGCAGATCCCTGTGAGTAGAAGAAGAAAGACTAAAAATGCAGGCCCCCTGGCTCCTGGTATATACAAAATCCCACGCGTTTTCCTCATGGCAGTAAATGCTGTGTGTTTGGCTTGTAGAGATGTATTTTACTGGCAGTGTGGCCCCATGGGGATAAGATTAGCCTTTTTTTATAGCCTTAGAAAATCCCATCTTCCCCTGCCGTAAGCATCTATTTAGGTCATTAACAATTAGTTGCTTTCTCCTTTGAGCTGGGTCCCCACAATGCTAAGGAAAGCTTGCAGACCTCCCTCGATCAGCATTCCTTATGAAGCATCAGAGTGCATACATATGTTCACCGAAAGGGAAAGTCAAAAGTCAAAGCAGCAGTATCCATGACAGCCCCAAACCAGAAACTCCCTAAGTGACCGTCACTAGTAGAACAGTAGACTGGCTAAATACATTGTGGTGTATTCATATAATGGAATATTGTTCATCAGTGAGAATGAACTAACCCCAAGTGCATTCATTAACATGAATGAATCTCACAAATACAATGATGAATGAAAGAAGCCAGACAGAAAAGATTTATTTCCATATAACTAATCTGTTATTAAGGAGTCCTGGTGTGGTGCTGTGGGTTAATGCACCAGATTGCAAAGGTCGGTGGTTCAAGCTCACCAGTCGCTCCTCAGAAACCCTATACAGGGTCGCTATGGGTTGGAACTGACTCGACGCAGCACCTAACAACAACAAGAAATCTGTTATTAAGGAGCTCTGGTAGCGTAGTGGTCACGAGTCAAGCTGCTAATGTCAAGGCCAGTAGTTCGAAACTACCAGCAGTTCTGCTGGAGAAAGATGAGGCTTTCTGCTCCTGTAAAGATTTACAGCCTTGGAAACCCTGTGCAGGGTCGCTATGATTCGGAACCGACTCCACAGTACATAACCATTAACACCAATCTGTTATTGGAGTCCTGGTGCGGCACTACAGGTTAATGCACTGGACTGTAAGGTCAGTTTGAACCACAAATGTGCATTCCAAGCTCACCAGCCACTCATTGGAAACCCTATATAGGGTCACTATGAGTTGGAACCAACTTGAAGGCACTTTACAACAACAACACTCTGTTATTGTCATTAGATGTCTTTGAGTCGATTTTCAACTGCCCCATAGGTTTCATAGGCTGTAATCTTGGTATACTGAGTGAAAGGTTGATGGTGCAAACCCACCAGCCACTCCACAAGAAATGATGAAGCTATTTGCTCCCGTAAAAATTGGTGTTGTTAAGTACTGTGGAGTCAGTTCCGACTCATAGGGACACTGCACAGGGTTTCCTGAGGCTGCAGATCTTTAGGGAAGCAGAAAGCCTCATCATTGTCCCATGGAACAGCTGGTAGTTTTGAACTGCCGACCTTGAGGTTAGCAGCCCAATTCGTAACCACTACGCTACCAGCGTAGTGTGGCAGCGGTAATGAGGTTGGCCCAGGATCGGACATTGTTTTGTTCTGCTGTGCATGGGGTCGCTATGAGTCGGTTCCGACTCGATGGCACCTGACAACAACAACAACGCTACCAGAGCTCCTTCCCATAAAGATTACAGTCTCAGAAATCCTATCCAGGATCACTGTGAGTCAGTGGATTTGATTTCAATCTTTATGGGAACAGATCTCCAGGTCTTTCTCACACAGAGCCACTGTGCTGGGGTGAGGGGTCGGGGAGTAGATTCCGACCCTGTATAGGGTCTCCTAGGAGCAACTGGTGGGTTTAAACTGCTGACTTTGTGCTTCACAGTCCAATGCTGACCCTACAGCACCACACCAGGGAGTCTGTTCTGTCACTAAATCACCATATAACTAATTTATATTGTTCAAGTTAAGATATCAGTTGCCTTGGGTTGAAGGGAGGATACTACCTGAAATGGACGCAAAAGGTTTCCAGTAATGTTCATTTTCTTGATCTGGGTGCCGGGATATGTTCATTTTGTGAAAATCTATCCAACTGTATTTGTGTGTGCTGGTTATTCTTCAATAAAACATTTACTTCAAAGCAAAATGAAACAAAAACACCCCTTTCCTCAAAACTACCAAGATATTTAAGTGCATGCTCTCTCCCTGTCTCCTCACCCTCACCCCTCTGCTCCTCTGTTGTTCCAGCAGTTACAGCCATCACACTTACCTCGGCAGCACCTCCAACAGCAGCGGAACCCATACCCAGTGCAGCAGGTCAATCAGTTTCAAGGTGAGACTGGGGCGCACCTCTCCTAGTTTACATCTTCTAGGTGCAAAGTGGAAGTGACTATGTAACGGGCAACACTGCCTTATAATGCTGCCTTTATGCCCAGGTAATATTCAGAATAGTTAATAACTGGTAGGTCGAATTTCTGGGCCAGATATTAACCTTATGGTTTTTAGGTTTTGGATTAGTCTGGGAGTCCCAGGGGAGGGGTTAGGGTGACTGAGAGGGGTGGGACTCTCAGGGAATGGGGCATTGCTCTTTATCCCCTGTACATAAATATTTTGATCATTTTACAGCCTCTTGGCCTGGCACCAGCCCTGTTGAAGTCTAGCTCGTCATCTCCACCACCACAGTGGGGAAATCTTTTCTGTTAACTCATCAGGTCCTCTAGCCAAAGCCCACACCTCTTAGAACGAGAAGTGGGAGAATTTGACTTTTAGCAACCACATGTCTCTGTTGAATGTAGAAGGCAAACAGGGCCTTGAGGCTGGCTGTGCTGTCTTGATCCTCCTGCCGTTTGGGGAAATGCTGAATCATGACCCCAGTCGCAGTGGGTGTGCTGTATGTCTGACGTTACCATTCCCTTATAAATGTGGAAGATTGACTCAAAGTTCAGACCCTCCCATCTCCATTGGAGAGAGCCTTTAAGGGTCCCGCATGGGGTAGGGAATAACCTGAGGACCCTTCATAATATCAGCCAAAGGAGTTGTCAGCCTTGGTGATGCAGTGGTTAAGTACTCACCCGCTAACTGAAGGTTGGTGGTTTGAACTCATCAGCCTTTCTGTGGGAGAAATGATGTGACGATCTTCTCCTATGAAGATAATACAAAGCAAATATCAACTCTGTTATTACTGAGTCAATTTCTACTCATAGCAACCCTACAGGACACAGTACAACTGTCCCGTAGACTTCCCAAGACTGTAAATACTTAAAGAAGCAGACTGCCACATAGTTCTTCTGCCCCTAAAGATAACATTTTAGGAAGCTCTAGGGGGCAATTCTAAGGAGCTCTGGTAGCGTAGTGGTTACAAATCGGGCTGTGAACTGCAAGGTCAGCAGTTCGAAACTCCCAGCTGCTCCGCAGGAGAAAGATGAGGCTTTCTGCTCCCGTAAAGATTTACAGCCTTGGAAACCCTGTCCAGGGTCGCTATGGGTCAGAACCAACTCCACGGCACATAACAACAACAACAACAACAGGGGGCAGTTCTACTCTTGTCACATGAGGTTGCTATCGGCTGAACACACACAAAACAGGCAACAGAAATCCTAATTCTGGTCCTCTAGCTTTTTTGTTAGGTCTTGAGCAATTCGTCCTAACTCCTTGAGTGCTATCAATGCCTTTAAGAATCTTCCAGAAGCTATGAAGCCCTTTCTGCAGAGATATGCATCTATGTAAATAGATACACACTTTGTGGATCATACATATCACAAAACTTCTAGTCGCTCCTGAACTTCATTGACAGCCAGGGTAAAAATTCCTGATACAAGGGACTATTTATTAAACTTTGGTTTTCAACACATTGTTATTGTCATTGTTAAGTACCATCAAGTCAGTTCTGATTCACAGTGACCCTATATAGGTTTTCCAGTGAGCGCTTGGTGTGTTTGAACTGCCGACCTTGTGGTGAGCAGTCCAGTGCTTATCCTAATTACCACACCAAGATTCCTACAGCACATTACTAGGTTGTGAAAACAGTTTAATGGGTCACACCCCACATTTTTAAAATGCAACACAATAGAAAAAGAAATTATCAGAGTGTGATCATAACGGAGTCTTTTGATTCTGGTATAAACCCGGTGTATATACTGGATCACAACATGAAATGTGTTTTGTACTGTGGGTTATGGTTTAAAGAGTCTGAAAACCACTGATGTCTACTAGATTGTGCTTAAGAGTGCCGCTGAGACAACTGGAGCTGAGTAGCTTCTACTGCTGTCTACTGTGGGACTTTGTTCACTTTACATCCCTCCAGATGCCTTTGGATTTGACACAAGGAGAAGGACAAAAGGAATTGAACTGTCCTCAGGTGTTCTCTGCACTCAATCTGTGCCAGTATTCTTTGAAGAATTATGCTTCTCGTTTGATCATGGTGGGAAAGAGTAAGGACTAGCTCTAGTTACACATGTGGGTTTGTTACAGATGCAGTGCTCTCCCTGTACACCTGTAGTTCTCAAACGTTAGCATGCATCGAAATCACCTGTGGAGCTTCTTAAAACACAGCTGGCTGGGTTCCAGCCCAGAGGTTTTCTGATTGAGTGGGTCTGGCATGAGGCCTAAGAATTTGCATTTCTAACAAGTTCCCAGATGTTGCTGATGTTGCTGGTCAGGGGACCATGCTGTAGAAACAAAACTCTCATAAACCTGGCATCCTTTGAGTTGTCTAGGTTCATAATTCATTTATTATTTTTCCCCAAATAAAGGGAACAATCAATCAAAATGTAATCATTCCTCTGCGTTACAGAGCATAGACATATTTTTGTATATGCTATTCTGAATGATTTGGGTTTGGTTTAAAAGTTTTGCTCCTGAATTTTTTAATTCCCCCCCCCCCCCCATTCCTTAAACTTTTGTAAAACCCCAAATCATAGGTTGTTGTTAAGTGACTTTGAGTCTACTCTGACTCATATTGATCCTGTAGAGGGTTTCTGAGGAGTGGCTGGTGGGTTTGAGCCACTGACTTTGCAATTAGTAATGCGTTGCTTATCCTACAGTATCACACCAGGACTGTGTTCATTTAGGATCCCTCAACTGACTGATTAGAAATATCATCTTTTTTTTTCTATCTTCACTATTCTCATATATTTTACTGACACCCTCAATATCATCATAGTGTATACATCTGGGAAAATAGCAAATTGATAGATTTAAAAATATTGTCCTTGGAAAGCAGTTTGGTTAGGAATAACTTGCATGCCATTCCTATACTATCTTCTCATCACTACATTTTTCAAAAGTCTTCAGAACCATCTTTCTCTCCTTGAGTTTTGTGCCTCTGGGCAATGCTACATGTCTATGGGGAAATGCCTGTTTTTCACAAATGCAGTCTTCTTGTGAGTGAAAATAGAACACAGACCATTCTAGAGGGAAAAAAATTTAAAAAGCATATTATCACTTCTATTTGAATATGGAAGAGTGTCTTTGACATTGTGATGCTAGCCAGCAAACAAGAAAATTAATTTGACTATATACAGTGTCTCACAATAATATCTGTATTAGGCCAAAAAAAAAAAAAGTAGTGGTAGTCTGCTGTTTAACGTATATGTAGTAATCAGGTCTAGGGTGAAGTTAATTCTTTGGGTAACTTAGTTAAAATCTAAAAATACGAAAAAAATTTAAATTGTGTGTTTAAAATGACTAGAGGCACAAAGCTAGAATAATAAAAAGTTTATTTATCAAGTTTAAAATTTAGTGCTGATTGCAGATTTTTAAATTTGCTCCACAAGAATTGCATATAGATTGTGCCATCATTATACTAAGCAAAAATAAAGGCTGGCTTGGCCCAGGATCCAGTTTGCACAGTGTTTCGTACAGCTGTGCATAAGGTCGCTATGAGTTGGTACCGACTCGATGGCACCTAACAACAACAACAACAAAGGGCATTGCAATATTTCTCTCCTTCTCATTCACAAAATAGTGCAGACAATATCCAGTCCCCTTTTTAAAACATATCCATTATAAATGTACAACAAAAATGTCCAGATTATGAAAGTTCTTTAGTCTGTTTCCAGCAACCCATCAGTCTGTTTATGTAATTTGGGCCTATCCAGTCAATCTTTGAGTCAGTAATATTTTTCCCTTATATTTTTTTATTTTTTTAATAAACAACTCAATAACCCATTCCACCACAGTTGATCCAATTGGCCATGCAGTCAATACAAATATAGTCGCTAAGGTCACAAAACTTCAGAACAAGATTGCAAGTTGTAGTATATACTACCATCCATTATTCAACCAGGAACTTTTGATTTTTAAAACTCACTTAGATATAATGAAGCTTAAAACAAAACATTGAAACAATTCTTGGGACTCTTCCCTGGGCCTTTCAGGTTTCCCCGCAGTAACCATTTCATTTTTCAGTGCAGCCTTGATATTGATCTCAGGCCACAAAAACTTAAGTCATAATCAAAATGCCCGTAATTTTCTTTCTTAAAGAAAGAAAGAAAATATGGGGACCTATTTGCTGCCCAGAAATCAATAACCCCATCAGGAAGACAAAAGCATGCTTCTGTTATCTGCCAGGGTGCCAGGTTTAACAAGGTTAGACCATCCTCAGCTGGTTCTCATCACAATTCCAAGATGGTAGAAAATTTGCTTAGAGTATTGAGTGGCTCCTATGCTGCATCTTCTCTAAATGTCCAGGAAAAAACTGTTTTTCTTTTCCTCATAGACATAGTCATTAGCAGATACATTTTTTAAAAATCCATTGGTGTGTACCTCCCAGGCCTTTGCAACATCGACTGGCGTTTAAAATGTGACATTTCCATTCTCTCGGTCAGTTTGAGAATACCCTGAAAACATGTAAAGAGGGACTCACTCAAATGCCTAATTAGGGTTGAGAACCTTGGCATTGATGCTCTGGCCAACTCTTAAACAGCATCATTAACACTGTGTTAGCGATCTGCCCAGAGAAGCAGTCACTGCGGATTTGAAGTAGTGGACTTTGCTGGAGAGATACATATAGTTCATTGCCAAGTAGCAAATAGCTGGATGATTTCTTTTTCTTGCTCAGGAAGCTGGCCAGTTTGCACAGACACGTTAAGAAGCTGAGAATCTGGAGCATGTGGAATTCTACGGAGTGGATCCAAAAAATTTCCCAGCTGTTGAAAGAGCTTCTTAGCAGAAGCAATGGCCTTTAACCTCTTAAATCCTACTCAAGTCTTAAGGGAAATTACTCTAATGGCTTTTATTGATAGTATTCTCTACTCAACCATGTTCCATTTCACAAATAGAATATGCAAAGTGATCAGCCATTTCTCCCTAAATTCGCCCAGGAGGTGAATTACCTCTCACCTCTGAGGAAAATTGTATTAGTTGAGGATATCCCAAAGAGTTAAGAGACAAATTGTGTTTGAAATGGTAACTCAAATATTTTTAGAGTACACTAAGTGGAAAGTCAAACTACAGAACCATGGGTACAGTATGATCTCAATTTTTGTGTGTACTTATAAAGGAGCACTGGTAGCGTAGTGGTTACGGGTTGTGCTCGAAACTACCAGCAGTTCCGCGGGAGAAAGATGAGGTTTTCTACATCCTGTAAAGATTTACAGCCTCAGAAACCCTGTACAGGGTCGCTATGAGTCGGAACTGGCTCTACAGCACGTCACCACCACCACCATATGTAAATAAAAGGTTAGCAGTGGTCATCCCTGGATGATAGGAACTCAAGTGATTCTAATTTTCATCTTTGTGCTTATTGGTATTTTCAAATATTTCCACTATCAGTGTATATTATGGTCATTAAAGTAATTTTTTTTTAAATTGCCATCATGCTGATTTTGATAAATAGCAACCCTCTAGGACAGTGTAGACCTGCACATAGAATTTCCAAGGCTATAAATCTTTATGTGGAAACACACTGCCACATCATTCTCCCAAGAAGCAGTTGGTGGGTTCGAACCATTGACCTTTTGGTTAGCAGCCAAGTACTTAAAAACTGCTCTAGCAGGGCTCCTTTTAAAATAATAAGTTTCTATAAAAGATTGATTGTTAGAATAGATCTTTTCTTATAAGGGAATTTTGTCATTCCAAAAGAAAATTCTAACAACTTTTTAAATATACAAAGAAGACTGAGTATCTATATGTACTTTTCCCCCACAGGCTCTCCCCAGGATATAGCAGCTGTGAGAAACCAAGCAGCGCTCCAGAGCATGCGAACATCCCGGTTGATGGCACAGAATGCAGGCATGATGGGAATGGGACCCTCCCAGAACCCAGGGACAATGGCCACAGCAGCAGCCCAGTCTGAGATGGGACTGGCCCCTTATAGCACCACACCAACCAGCCAACCAGGAATGTACAATATGAGCACAGGGATGACCCAAATGTTGCAGCATCCAAACCAAAGTGGCATGAGCATCACACATAACCAAGCCCAGGGGCCGAGACAGCCCACCTCTGGGCAAGGGGTTGCGATGGTGAGTGGTTTCGGGCAGAGTATGCTGGTGAACTCAGGCATTACCCAGCAGCATCAGCAGATGAAAGGCCCTGTGGGCCAGGCCTTGACAAGGCCCCAAGCCCCTCCAAGGCTTCAAACCATTATGGGAACAGTCCAGCAAGGAACGCAGAGCTGGCAACAGAGGAGCTTACAGGCAATGCCTGGGAGGACTAGTGGAGAATTAGGACCATTCAACAATGGCGCCAGCTATCCACTTCAAGCTGGACAGCCAAGACTGACCAAGCAACACTTCCCACAAGGACTGAGCCAGTCAGTTGTGGACACCAACACTGGTACAGTGAGAGCCCTCAACCCAGCTGCCATGGGTCGGCAGATGATGCCGTCGCTCCCGGGGCACCAAGGTGCCAGCCAGGCTAGACCGATGGTCATGTCTGGCCTAAGCCAGGGTGTCCCTGGCATGCCAGGGTTCAGTCAGCCCCCAGCACAGCAGCAGATGCCTGGTGGCAGTTTCGCTCCAAGCAACCAGAGCCAAGCCTATGACCGGAACCCCCCTCAGGACATGTCATACAATTACAGTGGTGAAGGAGCAGGGGCTTTCCCCGGTCTCCAGGATAGTGCGGACCTTGTGGACTCCATCATCAAAGGTGGGCCAGGGGATGAGTGGATGCAGGAGCTTGATGAATTATTTGGGAACCCCTAGTCAGGGGCAGGGGTGGAGGCCCATGAACCACGCCTCTAGTGGTTATTGTTTTAAAAAGTGAAAAAGAAACAGGATGGTAATCCATCCTTGTTTTTTGTTTTTTTAACCCATGTAAACTGAGCAAAACTGCAAGTGGCTGACAAAGGGAAGATCCACGGGGCAATTCACAGCCCCGGTGGGCCTCGATTCACCAGATTTTCACACTGCAGTCAAGACACCATGCAGAGCTCTGCTGTGAGAGAGGGAGGTGCACTGAGGGGCAGGTGAGGAGACTGAGCCCCGGCCCTCTGCCCAGTCCTCCCTGGGATCACCTGGTCCAGCAAGAGCTGCTCGAACCATAAGGGAGTGTTGCCCAAGGTGAGCCCCTTCTGCCTTAGGCCCAGAGGCCACAGCTTTGGAGAAACATGAAAGACAGAGCCTCGGGCCAGGGAGATACCCACAGATGCTGCTGGATAGATTGCACAGGCCAAGTGCATGGGTCAGAAACATGCTGAACTCTGGTGGAAAGAGATGAAAGGCTATCATGTTTGGAGAGTAGGCAAGTACAGTGACAATCTGCACAGGGAGCTGACAAAGTATTCCACTGGCCTGTCTGGCTCCTGCCCCAGGATGACCCTCATGAGGATAGCCAAGTGAGCTTGCAGGATTGTCCATCACAGTCTTGGGGAAGAGCTCTCTAATGGTGGTAAGTTGTAGCCGTCACTCCAGGTAGAAGGGTTGGCGCCTCCATGGGACCTGATACAATAATACGGACACATCTAGGCTGTTCGCAACTTCTGGCAGCCGCAGGGTGGAGAGATCACTCACTGCCAGACTCCGGGTCTACCGGTGTCTCCTCCCCCACCCCATGCCCTGCTCTCCTTACCTCAACCCCAACCTGCCCTGGCTCCTCCTTACAGACAATCCAAGAAGAAATGGAGCTTTTGTCTTTGGGGAGCCTAGACTGAGTCCAAATAAATAAAAGAAGAATTTAGATAATGCCTGAACTGCGACGTAAAGGCGACACTGGAGTTTTCTTTCTCTAAAAACATGTAGCGTTGGATGACTATTCTTTGCCTGGAACTGAGAGGGCTGCGCTGAGGTTTGGGGGTGAGTTTCTGTGAGCCGCATCTGATACTTCACAAACACCTAGAGAGCAAAGACCTGATGCTCAGCCAGTCTGACTCCCTTGGAGAAAATCAACAGGGTGACCCTTTGCAGTCGGTCTTTTGCGTACTCTAATTTCTATTCACCAGAAAGGCAAATACAAAACCCTGAGATATTAGGAGCTTTAAAAAAAAAAAAACATTGCTACATCTTACACATTTGTATTATAAAAGTCAGGAGGATACAGTTCCTGTCATATGGACATTGTAACCCACTTCAAAAGTTCTGTACAGCCGTTCTTTCTGATTCCCTCAATTCTGCCCTAAGTGAAATCTGTCAGGAAAAATCCACATCCCCGCTAACCACAGTCCTGTCTCTTCAGTTCTTGTCTCCCCTCTCACTGTTCCATTTTGGAGGCCACATGGTAGAATTATTCTCAGAAATGAGAGTGGAGTGTACTTTACCCCATCACCCCTCCTTCTGTGTCCTAACTGCTGGTTCCCATCTGTACCCACCCTGTCACCCACCACACCACACTCAGAGCCTTTGGGCTGGACTGGCTTGCCCTGGGAGAAACTTTAGTGATAGCACCTTGAATGGCATGCTAGGGCAGAAGCAGTGTAGAGAGGAGGCAGGCCGGCCGACCTTGCCCTTGACTTGCTCTCCAGAGACTAGGGTTCATACAGATGGTATGAATCAGCAAGGAGCAGGATGCAAGTCCGGAGATGGCCAGGTAGACAAGAACCCAGGCAGGGTGACCATGAACTCCCTGAGTGGCAAGAGATGCCATCAGGGAAACGCTGAGTGGAAACAGATGAAAACCAAATAAATAAATACAAGTCAACAAATGAAAGGACAGAGCATACATAATTACCTTTTTCTGAAAGGTACCAGAAATAAATATATAAGCAATTATGAGAAACTGGAGGTGGCTGAAGGAGAAAGGGAGGCTCCCAGCATCTTTGAGAAGCTTCCTCCAAATGCTCAGTCCCGGGACCAAGTAACAGAGATTTTAATCAGGCTGGTTTGTTTTTGTTTTTACTACGGTGCTGATGTATATGTAATGTCCAAAAGAAAAAAAAAAAAAAAAGGTTATTTGTACATAAGTTTTTTCAATACTGCAGTTATCACTGGGTCTACTATCTGTAAAAAATATATATATACATATAAATATATATATACTGTTTGTTTAAAATAGAGTATTTTTATTTCATTCCTTAACTCATCATCACAGCAGTGGTATTGCACTTCAGATGACATCTAATTACTAATTTGTACTGTATGACCAGATGGCAACTTGCTCCATTTTATTCAGATTTTTCTAGTTTTCTGTTTTTACTTTGTACATTGAGCATTGCTTATTTCCTTTGAAGAAATGTACAGAACTCTGAAATGTAGAAATGAAGTGATGTTGACATACCACTTTTAAAGAAAAAAAAAAAAGGCAAATAAAAGATCATTATCGAAATCAATCAAAAGTATAGGATCTTCACTGGTTCTACCCCCTTAATTAAGCAGATATGTCATTGCTGGGTTTTAGCTGCATTCTTTTCTCAAGATTTTAGTATCCTTAAACATTTATTTAACAATTGATGTTGTTGTTAGGTGCCATCCAGTCGGCACCAACTCATAATGACCCTATGGACAACAGAACGAAACACCGCCCTGTCCTACACCAACCTCACAACTGTTGTTACACTTGAGCTCATTGCTGCTACCACTGTGCCAGTCCATCTCACTGGGAGTCTTCCTCCTTTTTGCTGACTGTCCACTTTCCCAAGCATGATGTCCTTCTCCAGGGACTGGTCCTTCCTGATAATATGTCCAAAATATGAAAGACAAAATCTTGGCTTCTAAGGAGCTTTCTGGCTGCGCTTCTCCCAACACAGATTTATTTGTTCTTCTGGAAGCCTTTAATATTTTTTCTTCAACACCATCATTCAAATGTATCAATTCTTCTAAAGTCTTCCTTTTTCATTGTCCAGTTTTCACATGCATATGAGGCTATTCAAAAATACCATGGCTTGGGTCAGTAAGCATCAATTATTTTCAGCCTTTTTAATACAACCACACAACCAACACTTTCTAAATTTGCCACAGCACCCCAAGTGATGTGGCAAAGGGAAGAGAGGAAAATCAACTTTGAAAAATCGAAAAAACAAACTCCTTGTTAAGTTGATTCCAACTCACTAAGACCCCGTGAATACAGAGTAGAACTGAGCTCCATCGGTTTTTCTTGGATGTAATCTTTTGTGAGTTGTGGTCCAGCTCATTAACCCACATCGCCACACAAATCATTGATGCCACCCTGGGGCCTTTCAGCTCTGAAAAGAACATGCTTAAGGCCATTTATAGATTGAGTGCAATAGTAATTTAATTTCTCACTGGTTCCTTCATTCACAGGACTTGAAATATTGATAGTAAAGTTTTTATGCAGAAAGAAACGTGTGGGAGGGGGCATTGGAAATCAAGGAATATATTAGAAAAATTTTCATAAAAGTGCCTGGCCCCACTCTAGTGGACCCTGTCAATAAGCCTGTCTCCCCCTCCTGTGAACTTTACTTGTGACAGCCCACACTGCAACTCTCTTTGACCATGTATTCCTGCACCACACACAGAGAATTGAAAGAACTTAGATATCTATATCCCTCCAGACTGAACCTGCTAATGATCCACTGGTGAGGACTGTGAGAGCCCAGGTAACTTGCCTGAACAAACTCTGAAATGAAGTTTTTACTTTAGACCCCTGAGCCCCCTGCAGGATTAGGCAGACTGGACTTGGTTTGAAGTTGCCCTCTAGTTTGCCCGAAGCCCCTTCTCTGCCCTGTTTACCCTACTCCCTTTCTGTTATCTCCTCTTGGGACCCCTTCTTTGATATGTTTCAAAACTGTCTGGGTTAAACAGAAAAATAGGCCACAAGAACAAAATACAGTCCTCAGCAGAAAATAGATCCAAAACAAAGGTAAGTTTTAACATATACAAACCAATGAGAAGGAATGAATTGGACTATGGAAGAAGAAAGAGGTCAGCCCATCTCATGGACTGTGGTTCCAGATTGGCTGGCAAATGGAATGAAGGAGAAATAAGGTTGCTCCAGACTCGGGCATCGTAGTCTCTACAAGAAAAATGAACTGATTCAGAGGGTGGCGCTGCAGGATAAGCAAGGTTAGTTTGAACCACAAGGTTGGCAGTTCAAACCCACCAGCTCTTCAGAAACTCTACACAAGTGTCGCAGTGAGTCAGAACCAACTCGACAACAACAACATACATGTAAAAACCTGAGAGCTCTGAGACGTATTGGGTATTCCTAGTTCCAATTTAAAAATTTTTAATTTTTAAACCACATTAAAAAACTTTTTTATATGATGAATAGATTACGTTTCTCATTTTAAACTGTTTCACGTAATCTTATTGTTCTTATAAACTCGGCGAAATTAGTGTGTGGTATGCGATGGGGAGGGGGAGAATAAACACCTATCTAGGATGTTATCATTGGAGTGTCACAGGGCATCCACACTGGGGCAAAACAGGCATTTTATTGTTGACAGATTAAAATAGATTTCCATTGAGTCCATTCAGACTCATGGTTACCCCATGTGTGTGAGAGTAGAACTGTGCTCCACACAGTTTTCAATGGCTCAATTTTCGGAAGTAGATTGTCAGTTATTTGTTCTGAGGCACCTCCAAAGGGTGACTCAAACCCCCAACCTTTTGGTTAGCAGCCCAGCATATTACCCATTTGCATCACCAGGGACTCCAGCTGACAAATGAACAATGAACATTCAAAAGCATTAGATGAGCTGTTTCTGCCATCGAACCATTCTTTTCAAGAAAGGGGAAGACTGGAGAAAATAGGTGCAATACAAACGACCAGGTAATTTTCCTTTTAATGGATTATTTAAACTAACCACCCA